ATACAGTGGTGCGGAGCGCGCAGGGGGGGGAGTCGATCAGTCTCCACCAAAGTCTGCGTGCCTAAATGTGCTTTTTGGAAACAGTACCATTTGAGATTGACCTAAATCATATCCGAGTAAAAATGTCCATATCCTTCCCTCTAGAAGCAAAGAGAGTCTCACATTGCAATTTTAGCCAGGCCGCTTTCGTGTTATTAGGTACCCCTAACCCTAGGGTTGTGATGACAACCCAGCTAACCCTAATAACCCTAGGGTTATGCCGTGCGCGTTGTTGCGCTTTGTTTGTTCACCATCGTGAGGTGTCTCTACGGCGCGTATATATATATACGTGTTGGTCAACTGTGCAGGCTGGGCTCGCAGCAGCATCGTGTCATCGCCAGTGTCGTGTTCGTATCCATCAACTTATCTCGTTCTGTTCCACATCCAGCTCATCCTCCATCAGCGCCAGCATAAACCACAAGCACCCCCACCCCCAATCAAACCCCAGCATCTCTCCCTCTCCCCCGCCCCGTCGTACAGCCAGCACCAAACCAAAAACAACAACACCACACCACAGCGACGCATCATCAGTCACTCGCACCCCCATCCACGGCCACTACCACCACCACCACCACCACCACCACGAGCACGACTACTACAGCACAACCTACCGCATGGCAAAACCCAGCATGAAGCCGCGGCGCGCAGCCCGCAACACCTCCCAGCCGCCGAGCAGGACCCGTAGCGGCGGCGGAAGCGGCCCACGACACCGCTCAGCGTCGCCGGGCCCCGTTGCTGCGCGCAGGACACAGTTTAGAAGTGGCCAGCCGACACCGGTGCGGCAGCAGCAGCAGCAGCATCAGCAGCAGCTGGAGACTGGCACTGGGAATAGAAAGATTGTTAAGAAAACAGGGAGGACGCGCGCAAGGTCGAGGAGTCGCGGGAGGAGAAATGACGAGGAAGGGGGGTCGTGGGAGGAAGACAACAGCCAGCAGCGGCATCAGGAAGAGGAGGAGGAGGATATGGAGGAGGCAGTGGGGGTGCGTAGGAGTGCTGAGCAACAGAAGCAGCAGCAGCAGCGCGAAAGACTGTGTAAGTGCCTTCTTGTTGAAAATTTGTGAGATGTCCTCTATTCCTCTCAGCCCAATGGATGGGTGGATGGATGGATGGCGGGGTGAGTGCGTGCATGTAGTATGTGATTAAGCTTTGTGCCGCCCCTCATGGTCATAGCTTCAGCCTTGAATCTCTACATTGTATTAGGCTCCCTGCCATCTTATTCTACACTACATACATGTATTATACTACATTATGTATCTTCTTCTCCCTCCTCCTCCTCCTCCTCCTCCTCTCTCCCCTTCTAAAAGCACCCCAGCCCTTCGCTCCTGCACGTTGCCGCGTCATGTCTGCTACATACATATATGGTTCCCCGCTCTCCTGCACGTACCATCTTCCTCCATCGCTCCCGAACAATGCCACAATCTCCCGCGGCGCTCGAGGACAGGGTACACCGTATATATAGCTGGCTAACAATCCCCCCATCAGTCCTCTCGCTTGTCCCAGAAGACAGCGAAGCCGACGCTGAGGCGGGCAAGCGGAAAGAGAACCAGATGGAGCAACACGAGCAAGAGGAGCTCGCGTCATCACCACCACCACCAAATCCATCAAGATATGAGCCACCTCCAAACCTCCTCCCTCATGACGACACCGTCACATCCGTCTCCTTGATCTCGGGATTTTTCTCAACACCGGAGCCAGACCTTTCCAATACTCAGATAGAGATTGATGAGCTCGACGTGGGCCTCATGCTTGAGATGTTCCCGCACTTGGATGCACATAGCAGGAAAATATTGGACCTGCTCATCCTGAAACCCCCCACAAAAGACCTGAGACGGCATCTCCTCGTTCCGGGCTCAAGCGCATCCAAGCGTCTCCGAACATACGAGCAGAACTTTGCTGCGTCAAAGACGGCTTACGGGGCTTCTGACTACATCTCTGTACGCCAAGTCGAGAGTGCTTTGGGCGGTGACGAGAGTTTTCGCCCGCTCCTCTATACCTCCAATCTTTCCATTTTAGCGGACGTCACATACACCAGCCAGGGGTCTGGCGAGAGCACTTTCGATAAGCTGAAGCATATCGAGAGGGATTTCCCAGTGCAGTTTGGCGATGTGGTCCGGAACGCCAATTTTCAAGCTGCTTTAGATCTCAGGACACAGTACTTGGTTTTAGCACTAGTGAACAATCAGGATACGCATGGCTTTAACCCTGATGTGTGGCTGAGATTCATCTTTTTCGATGACGATAAGGTCGTCAAGCGCTGGGCAGAGATGGAGAATGTCGACAACTGGGAGACGCGAGTTCTCGAAAGGGTTGTAAAGATCAGATCCACCTTTGGGCAGGGATCGTACGAAGACCCACTGGACATTGCTATGCTGGTGGACCTGTTCCCATGGGAGGACTTTGTCAAGAGGATCTCGAGCTACATCAAGACTCGCTTTTCCGAGCTTGAAAAGTCACGTGCTGGCAGGAGCGTCGAGAACTTGGTTGATAACGCAAAGAACCCGCAGTTTGGTGATGCTAGGGAAATAAATTTTCTGGATGATCGTGAGATTCCAGAGACACTACGAGACGGTACGCCCGTAAAACGCCGCACAGCTCGTGTTTCACAAAAGCTACCCGAAGCCGAGCCCGGAGCAGTTGCTTCGACTGCGCCTGCAGCGGCGGCCACTGATTTTGAGAGGTTAGTTTAAGATTTGCATTCTTGCTTTTAGCACCCCTTCCTTGGCATATCGTTTAATTTCGCTTCATGCTGACAATAAATCCCCTGCCCTCCCCTGAACAGCTACGAATCATATAAACTCAGGAAAGAACAGCAAGACCATGGACGGCTGGAATCGACATCGATCGCTGTCAACGTAGCACAGATGAGGGACCTGAAACGACGTAAGACAATGCCCGCCCCGGAAACAGTGCCATTCATCAGAGGCACGCCGAGAGTGGCAACTTCGCTGGGCTCAAAGGATGCGGAGGCAATCACCTTGTCTCAGGTGAAATTCTTAAAGTGCCTGAAAAACGTACCGGAGAAAACTCCTGGAGAAGCGGGACCTTCCAAGCTGCTGGAAGCTGCCGGGGAGGCCGTGGCCTCTGAACAGACGGAGGGACCCGAACCGGTGGAAGATGCTCAGCCGCTAGAGGATGAAGGCGACAATAACGATGTAAGCAATCCTGTACTATGGATGGCCGCTATCAAGAAAGGGAAGGAGATGAAGAACAAGGAGAATGATAAATCGGTGGCCTCGACTCTCCCTCCTCCACAGCAGCCTCGCCTCATGAAGCGAAAGCGGTTCATCGACCCCCAAGAAGGCGCAACCCGCGTCTCCCAAATCGACGACGACGGCCACAGAGCGGCCGCAAAGCGACAGCAGCTCCAAAAGGGAAAGGAGAGAGAGGTCATCCCCGAAGAGGCCGAAGAAAGCAGGCCCGCATTCGAGGATGAAGATGAGGATGAGCAGGATGGGGACGAGGAGATGTACCAAGTAGACACGAGGAAGGGGGATGAAGAGAGGATGAAGAGGAGCAGAAAGGGCCTGCCAGACCTCGGTCCTTCAAATGCTGCTGCTGCTGCTGCTAAAGCGCCCGCTGCCTCTGCCGCCCCGAAAACACGTAAAATCACGATGAAGGGTGCCAGGGATTCCAAGGACTTGAGAGCTTCCGGAGACACTGAGGGCTCCAGGAAATTGTCGGGTGCAGGTGAAAATTCGGATGTCGACGAGTACAATCCCGAGGATGAGGAGTACGATGACGAGGAGGAAGCAGAGGAGGAAGCAGTGGAGGAGGTTGAAGATGAGGACGAGTCCGTCACCAATGACGAGAGGCGTGCTGCGCTCAACCAAAGGGTTGATAGAATAATAAAAAAGGATCTTGAGAAGCAGTCGAAGTCAGCGCGCCCGATTAGGAGGAGGAAGGCTTGGGGACGGAAGCAGACGGCGCTCTTGATCCGGATAATTGGGGAAGAGGGTTGTAAATGGGCTGAGATTAGAGATGTAAGTCGTCAGGAGACGAAGGGTTTATGTGAATGGCGGACTAACGTGTGTGCGCTGTAGATGAATGTCCCTGAATTCAGTGGCCGGACGAATGTCCAGCTCAAAGATAAGGCAAGGAACATTAAATATGACTACCTGAAGTAAATCCCCCCCCCTCTCCTCCCCGCATCATCTACATCACGACCTCGTTACTAACAGCGTCACAATCAAACAGGGCAAGAATGCAACTGCCTCGCAACTTTGAAGACGTCACCATCAGCAGGACCCAGGTACAGACACTGATACAAATGGGCATCAACTGCGACGACTACATCTGAGGGGGTTAGTTGATCGGTTGATTAGTTTAGTTAGTTGTATCGTCATGCTGCTACTGTTCCTGGCGTTAATGTGTTTTTCGAATTCTTTCCTGGGCGTTTGTAGCTTTTGTACCTTCACTATCACGTTTACTTTGTTGTCTCTATCTCGAACTATTGGATCAAGTATTTAGTGCGTAGTAGGGCCTTTTGGGGATGGGGATACAATATTCAAAACACTTTTCTTCTTTTTTGGGGGGGACTTTATCTTTATCTATTTGTTCTCAGATCTTTAGTGGCGGCCCCTCTTAGTTGTGGCGGTATGTATTATTTTCCTTTTTTTCAACTTTTCTTCCCCCCCCAATGATTAATAGAGAGAGACAGAGTCCGAGATGACGTGGTAACACTTCCCTACGCAGCAACACTTCCCTACGCAGCGAGGGGCAGGACCACTCGCGTGTCTCTTTTGTTTATTAATTTCTGTTATCCTTCACCCGCTCGTCTTGTCGGACTGTACGCTTTAACACTGCTAGTACTACTACTACTACTACTATAATTATTGCTATTACTTCTCTTTGATCATCTGTATTTCGGCGGCATTGGTTGTTGTCATTTATTATTTATTATTGCAAGTTATCTATATAATATGATATGGTTGATAAATATGAAAATTTCCAACACAACATCAGCACCGTTGGTGAAGGGGTATCATAGTTGCCTTCCATTACAAAATGTTAGCAACTGGGAAGGGTTCGAGTCCCTTACGGCGCACTCATTTTTTTTCCCCCACCTCCCTTTTTCTTATCACCTCTATTCCTGATCTATATCTATGCCCATCGTTTTCTTCCCGGTGGATTTCTTCCGCCAATGCCGGTTCGCATAAACAGTTCCGTCATGGGGTATCACTCGGTACGGATTTCGGGACAGAATGGCTGTTGGGGGAAAGAGCGAGTGTCCGTCGGTATTGGATAGAATCAAGATCACAGACAGGTACATATGTGTAGACACGCCGCTAGACAGGGGAAAGCAAATGCCCAAGACCAAGGGCCTGTTCGGTTGCACCCAGATATCGTAATATTTGGCCTAATAGGGAGAGGGTCTAAACATATCTTTTCTTTTAAGTCAAATATCACGGTATTTGGGTGCAACCGAACGGGCCTAGGAACCTTCCTCTAAAACTATATATGTACTCCACACGACTGTCAAACTCACTAGTGTTTCCGTGTGCCCTAGCGGGAAGATGGTGAACCATGGCCAAGAACTATGGTAAGTACATGTACCTAGTATGTTTTCTTCTCCACATACGTACTCAAATAAGTACATACATGTAGCAATCGATGCATCTTTTATACAGCTCGTCATGTAAGTACAACCAGTTGGGAATTCCAATAACACCGGATCACCCTGCTTGGTTTTTCGCGGGCCCCCCCCCCCCCTCCCCCTCCAAACTCACAAAGGTTCTTCGGACTCGAACTCCTGATGGCACGAAAAGAATGAGACGGTGCTTGCTGGGCTACCTGGCTCCTCGTCGTTTTTCTTTTCCGGCTGTAGGGCTCTATCAAGACCAAGATTAGGGAAAGTCTCGTCTAGATCCTGCAGAGGCAGCAACGAGGGCGTGTTTCCCTGCTTTTATTTCATTAGCATTTGCCGGGCCGTGATGTTGCCGTTTGAAAACTCAAATAACAAAAGTGCACGCAGTTTTAATGTCAGTTATTATCCTTTCTACAAGTTAAATGAATTATTCTCAGTCATGCCTGCAAATATATAAGAACTAAACAAAGCGAGCATGATTATTAAAACCCCCAAATAAACAAGCCGCGCAGACTGAAGATCAGGTATTGAGTCCCCTTCAAGACCACAACGCCAAAAGAGAAAAAAGAAAAAAGAAAAAAGAAAAAAGAAAAAAGAAAAACGGAAAACGGAAATACAAATAGCATGCATCGCAAGTGTCGAGAGAAAAAAAAGAAAGGATGTAGAAATTCAGTTGGGATGGAAGTAACGACTCCTCACCGCCTGACTGAGATTGGACATCCTGCTTGCCATGCCGCCAGCTTGTATGGTGCTTAAATACGCTTCCTCCATTGCTGATTGTGTAACGCTCGCGTCTAGTAACAATCAGCGACAAAATAGGACTATCCAATGATTGGCGTACGTACCAGAGAGATCACTAAAACTACTTCCCATAGTAGGTGAATTTGGTCCAGTGGACAAACCTGTACTATCTACCGGCAATCGCCTAGGACTTCCCATGGGTGCCAGGGGCTGTTGTATTCTTGACCTTCTAGCTCTAACTGTACCCTGAAACTCCAACGATGGGTCAACACCAGCTCGAGAGCTGGGCCGAACGGATTCCTTCCCCTTTATTGTACCAGCCCCAGAGGCTCGTCGTCTTAGTGTCACGGTACCTGTCATTTGGTCATCAGTACCTACAGCGGGCTTTTCGCCAGGTGAAAATGGCAAAAATGCCGGTTCTTCATCGTCATCATCCTCATCAGAGCTCTCACGGGAGCCCTTTCTATTGAGAAACGACGGAAGCCTCCGAAATGGCCGGTTTCCACCATCTTCATCATCATCAGACGATGCTGATGCTGTAGAGGACTCTGTATAATCTTCGGATGCAGATGAAGGGTGTTCTGGGGAACGACTGGGCGATGGATTAGAAGGAACATGATTTGAGAACCGGTGGCTAATTGGCGGGGGCTGCACACCGCCCCGAGTGGTCGTAGACGAGCCGGTTCGTGACATTGGCTGTGCGGAAGCTGCGAAAACTTTAGTACTCTGCTATCTATTCATATTGATTAGAACCCTTACGCCTACTCGTATTGATCAGAGTTGCTGGAAGGGCAGGTGTGAGTCTGGGGGTAACTATTGGAATAGAGCGCACTGAAAGAGACGAGTGAGTCCTGGGCTCTATAGATCAGGCACCATATCAATGACCATTTCAAGATAACTTCGATGGCTATCGAGGGTGGTTTAAACTTACCTGTACCAGTTGTACCAGTTCTAGCCATCGGGACTCCTCCAGTCACAGCAGGAGATTGCGGTCGCGAGTATGGGGAGCTACTAGCAATATTGGTAATATTGGTATTCAGAGCAGATGTCCCCGCCCTTCTCATTTGAGCTTGAATCTGGGAGAGCTCCCGTTCATAAAGCCATGCTGCCTGCTGAAGTAAGAATTCTCGAGATACTTGAAGATCGGTTGCTCTATTACAACATTAGTACCCACTCCAATCAAGACTATTAGTGAGCTCACAGTTCATTCCCTATACTGTCATATTAGCCACAGGAAAATTCTGAAAATTTGAGGGAGGAAACGTACAATCAATATCCATGCTACGACCAGCTCTCGAAAGAACCTTCCACAAGTACCTCTCCTTTGCATCATTCCAATCGACCTATTTCACTAATCAGTACATTTGTGCTATAATTTTCTGTGTACATGGCCGAACTTACCTGTGGTGGGTCTACGAATCCATTCCTCTCGAATGGAAGTCGTATGTAAACGACGTATCTCTCCTCGGCCGGCGGCTGAGAGATTACTGGAACTTGGCCACGCCTGCTGCCCTCTCTATCACCTCTGAGCGAGTTGGTACGCTGAGTTGGGGGAGCCGTATTCACCGGAGAAGAAGCCAACGCTCCGTTCAAGGGCATTCCACCACCAGCTCCCCCACTAGCCCCTCCTCCAGCTCCTCCAGCTCCAGCTCCTCCAGCTCCTCCAGCTGCCCCAGCTCCTCCAGCCCCTCCTCCAGCCCCTCCAGATCCCCTAGAAGAAGTTTGGCGGGGGCCAAGGTGCCCAATCATTCCTGCTGCGGCTTGTGTAGTGTTCTTGATGATATTTGGAAGTGGTACCACAGGCATGGGGTTTGTGGTCGCGTACAAGTCAAGCTTTACGTCACAGTAAACGGAAGATGGGTTTTCCAGTCCGCTGTGCGAATGTATGTTGTCTAGTAAATAGGGCCCGATATTCTTTGGTGCGACGTGAAAGCTCGCCAAATGATTCTGTTACATGCACAAACAGCGACAGCTAGAGAGGCACATGAAGGATAAGCCAGGATTGTCTTACTAATCTTGGCAGCGAGCGTGAGTGTTCGTGAACCAATGAGAGGAAGCGTTATGTCTATGCCCTAGGTTCAACCTAACCCTGATGGCAAGGACTCCACAAATATGTGGTCTTGGCGCACAACTCAACGTACCAAAACCAACACAACCCACGCCAGAAATGTAATATTGTAATTTTCAGCTGATAGAGCGATTATCCATATACAAATATATACTCTTCCAATTCTCAGATAATATCTATCTCAATTGGTGGTTGAGGACCGGGTTGAGAAGTGGCATTTTTTGGTGTCTTCCCATACAGTGGAGTCTCGATAGTAGCATTCTCGATAATAGCATATCCATATCTAGTTGGGCAATCCCAAACGAGTTGGTACGGGCAAAGTTGTTCTCGATACAAGCATATTCTCGAAAATCCGTTCCCGACCATATGCTACAATCGAGACTCCACTGTACTACTCGTATCTTTCTAACGTTTCCGAACTGGACTGGGTCTGCATATGGGCATAAATCGTGCTTGGCAACTAGATTTTGGTGGTATGCAGACCCAGTCCGGTTCGGAAACATTAGAAAAATACGAGTACATGTATGTACATACCCCGCGACCGGGTGCCGGAAAGTGATGCGACGACTCAATCAACCACATACGACCCAATTTTGACTTTAATGAAGCAACAAGATATAGTACATAAAATAAAGAGAGTATAAAGATTTCATCGATCGCATTTAAGTAAAAGAAATTGAGGTATGGCGCGCCGCGCCCACGCTTAAAGGTATCGGATCGCGACGAAATGTCAATGGCTTATAACTTTGCCACAAAAAATCGTAATGATAGAACTCTAGTACTAGTGATGAAGTTTAGTTCTATCATTGCAGAATTTTAGTATCTATGAAAAGCCTTAGTAAGTTGAAATAGTAGATTTTTGTATGTATGTAGATGCGCCAAGACTGAATAAAGTGGAACAGTATTATATCAATTTATACTCCCAAAAAAGCAAACCTGACTGATTCGTGGCAGTAATGCAGCAGAATGGCTAGAAATGGGCTCTCTCATTGGCCCCTGAGCCCTATCACAGCCACAATTGTTCCACTTCCGTATGCCACCATATCACCTTTAAGAGTGTGCGCACCATACAGTGGAGTCTCGATTGTAGCATATGGTCGGGAACGGATTTTCGTGTGCCACTATCGAGAATATGCTTGTATCGAGAACAACTTTGTCCGTACCGACTCGTTTGGGATTGCCCAACTCTATGCTACAATCGAGGATCGAGAATGCTACTATCGAGATTCCACTGTAGTTGCGAATTCGCTAATTATAAGACCTCACCCAATCCCAAGATGCATAGAATCCCTCCAGTCACAGTAAATCACTCGTAGCCGCGCACACTTTTTTGTTGTTGTTTAATTCATTAATTACATGTAGACCGTAGTCTATGGTAATATCACACTGCCCCCACAACTACCCGTCCTCCGCCTTCCTATACAAGTACCAGTACTGATAAGCTAACTAATTTGACTATACGTTCGTACTACAGGTGTCTATTCTACTCTTCCCCTTCATCATTTTAAGTCTACCCTACCCTAGCTTCGCTTCGTTTCCCTTCCTCTTCGTCCTTGTCTTCATCTCTCTCGCCCCTTTCGTGCCTCTGCTTTGTAAACTCCTTCCAGATTGCGAGCGCAGTTTCGATGCCCGATTTGGTTCACAGTAGTTT